AAAAAAAAAAAAAAAAAAAAGATATTTCTTAAGCCTTTCTCATAATGTCCTTGAGGTACACTTGCAACATAAATAGGCATCAGTAAGTACCGCTCTGCGGAGTATCAGAAGTCGTTCCCATCCTCAACTGCACATGACTTCTCTTAGGCTCCAGAGCTAACCCCATGCTAACCAGAATTTCTAAACTGAACAGATATTGTCCTTATCATTACAACTTAACTCACTACAACATATCTGAAAAAGGCCGAGTCTGAGTCTCCCAACAGAGGCAAGCTTTTCCAGAGCACCACTAGATATTATACAATGTACCCCAACCCTTTCCACTTCAAAGAGGTCGTTCTATTCCCCAGAGCAGTTCATTTATCAATGGAATTCCAAATATCCGAAAGAGTCAATGGACACTCAGAAGTTTTCCTCAATGGTCTAGCAAGATTTGCAAACAAGAAGAATGCACACTGCCCTGGAAAGAGCAAGGTGTTGAATGGATTCTGAATGCAACTTCATTTACTGGGCCTGTGTTCACTGGGCATCACCGGGTGGACAGAAACACAAGGAACCCCTTTGGAGCTTCCAGATTGGTGTGGGGGTTCACACACCAGCTCTATGCAGTAATACAAAGCCAGGCCTTCTTTCCCAGGGAATAGCTTGGAACTATCCAGTCTAAACTTTTTCTGTAGCGAACCTGAGAGGTCAAGGTGATTTTCTGCCACTGAGAAAAGTCCCAGGTCAACTTCCATGCTGCTGGAAGGTATGCACTTAGAAAGGTAGGAGTATTCCAATAGTAGCTGAGGTGGAAAAGGGGTAAAGTCAAAAAGCAAATCTGGGGGTGGGGTGGGGAGAGAAGTCTCAAAGAAAGCAACTAATTTGGACACCTGTTTATGTTGTTCCCTTGTCTAGGGTGTAGCAAGTATTAACTACTCAGAATAATCCATTGGGGATGTCAAGGCTAAGGGAAGAAGGGTCTAAGTTGGATTTTAAGTGGGTTTAGAAGTTAGGGGAGCATTAGATCACATTCATATTATTTAACACTGATTGAGCATTTACAGTGTGCTAGGTATTGTATAAGAGATTTATATCTTAATGCCTAATTTACTTCTATGAGGTATTCATTATTTTTGCTTCCATTTCACAGATGAGGAAACTGAGACAGAGTGGTTCATTAACTCCCCAAGGTCATGCAAGTGCAGGAGCTAGAGCTCTGGACCAAATTCATCTGTCCCTGAGACATGTGCATTTTAGGTGAGGGTGACCAGATGAGGGGACTGACATGTATACAGGCATGGATTTGGAACCGAGTTAATTAATGCAGAAAAGGGCGAGCAAATTAAATATGGCTGGGGCAGAAAAACAACATAAGAGATGATGGACAAGGAGCTCAAGGAGTGTTTCAAGAAAGGGCTGAAACACTCAGAGGTCCTGAGTGGCGCCTCTGACACTTAGAGGCAAGAGGGAGCTCTTAGGAGACCACTGAAGCATCCAGCTTAAACTGAGATGGACATGTGGGCAGGGGTGGGGGTGGGGGGGTGAGGGGCGTGGCCATGAACACCAAGGGGCTGCCACTCTGAGAACCACTGGACATCTGGGGAAGACCTGAATAAGAGCAAGGAAGAGAGACAGGGCGGGTATCTAAGGGATAGGAAAGCCTCTGCAGTGAGGTCTTTGCAGGACATTTTACTTCCAGACTCCAAGGCCATTTTCATTCCCAATTCCATTCATATTAAAGGGCAGTTTGACAGAGGGCATGTGCCAATGAAGAAAAGAATGCCAAAATCCACACTGAATAAAAAGCGAACACCCCTCACCAGGCAGTGGTTGGTTTATTTAATTGGCTTGTTAATTCTTTGGAGGAGACACATATATATAAAATTACATTTTCCCCACAATGTGCCACTAAAAAAAAAAAATAGGAATCCTTAACCTGTTAATACTTAAGGAATCATCTTTCCTCTCACTAACACCTTGCAAAGCAGTCAGCCACCGCTCTGGAGTTTGTTTTATTGCTTTTTAATTGTGGCACTTTTGTAAATAAGCACCGAATATAATTAGGAGGCTCAGTCTCCATTCAGGCATGTGGGCAGGCATCCTCGCCTCTCAAACTTGCCACGCTAGGCATGCGCGTGCAGGCACAAATTAGCTGCCTGCCCCATGGTGCATCCTCTCAGTCAAGGTTACACTGAGTAGAACGAGCCTTAGGGCTTCTGTTTTCTCCATCGTCTTCTACACTGACAGATTCCTTTCTCTCTTTGCTACTGAAAACATGTACAACTTAGCAGGGAGAGCTGTGCTAGGTTGTAAGCAGGTTAGTGTTGCAACAAGCTTAAAGATGATAAACATAAAGCATGCTTCCTGTTCCTCTTTCAAGAAAGGGCTGAAACACATTATGACCCACAAAGGAATGTTGGAAAACAACTAACTTCGCTCTTCTGAAATAAGGCAATTAATATAGAGGGCAAGGACAGCCTCTTATCCATCTCCTGGAAACCCACAGCCTGGGATGCAGTAGGTGTTCAAGAAATATTTGCTGAATGAATTGGAGGAATTCAAAATTGTGTCACAGATACTCTCAAAGTAGAAATGAACAGTCATTTGAACCATTTCCTGATGTGGGGGGGGAGGGGAGAGGTGGCCAGAAGATACACTTCGTCTAGAGTCATTTGAAAATAGACAAGGAGAGAGACGTTTTCAAAAGAAATCTCACTGGCCTCAGGATTGTCACAACACAATTTTCTATCTAATGAAGCAATGACACAAATGGATGGAAGAAAATAGTCTGGCCTTGGAATAATCAAATGATAATTGAAAACCACATACTGATGTCAAACTCACAAGTGAGTTTTTTTTCTGTTATTGGAAAACTGCTCTAAAAAGAACCCTATGTCAAGTTCTTTTCATTAATCAAAGGGTGGATAGACAAAGGAAGATTCATCCTTGAGTGTAAACGAAACCAAGTTAAATGATTTATGGCTATCACAAATAAAGGAATGCTGTTTGGGCAACACTATTACTCCCAAATGGCTTCCCACTTGTAGAAAAACAGCTTCAGGCAAGCCTCATGTTGTATACAGTGGTGCAAAATGAACTGGAAAAGATGGTTTCTATGGATATCATTTAAAGATGCATATCCCTGAATACCTTAAGGCTGAAGGTACTTTTTTTTTTCCCTCAAAGCAATTATGGCATGGTTCTCCTAGCCAGGTTTTGTTTACATAAGAACAATCTTGGCCACAGGTCATCTGTGTAGGAGATAATTAATCACCAGCTCTTTGAGCACAGGTAGACTAATTATTATGCCTATAATACAATACTAAAATCTTCTTGGAAAATCAAAAAATATTAAAACAAGGATCGGTAATACCTGCCGGTGGTCTTTTATCCAAAGCAAGTACAAAGGCTGTCGGTGAAAACAGAGAAGACTTTGTTTTTAAACTGTTCAGAAAATACAAGGCATCACTGATCACCTGAAGGCCTCATTTCCATTTGATTTCAGATCCATGGTGGCTTAGAGGTTGTCTTTTTAAAATAACTTATTACTAAAATCTTTATGTAGGTCAGAAATGGAACTTCAGAAGCCATCAGATTCTGCTCTCCTTATAAATGATTAGGGTCAGAACCTCACTTGTTTACATTTCAAAAAAGCACATTATTTGGACTATAGCAAACATTAGGATTTTTGCAAATTCAAATATTAAATGGCATTGGAACAGCAACCACATGGACAAGGGAAACTGCAGAGAAACATATGCAGATGCCCCTATATACACAAAGGATGAGTCTTAGGTTCTAGACTATTAAGTTCTTTTCTTCAGACAATACCCTAATAAAACAATTACAAAGTACTCTGAAACCCTGCCACACCCCTCTGATTAAACCTCACCTCACAAAATATTTAGATACAGCTTGAACAAACCAAACAAACATCAAGGCAGGAGGAAATGCAGCCAAGAATGCCCAGTTCTGCACTCCACCAGTCTGAAGGGCCCTCTCACTTGAAAATTTAATCAAACAAAATCCACTGTAATTCCACTGCAGCCGTCGCACTTAAGGAAAGCTAGTTCAGTCTCTGACATTTTGATTTTCACAGCAGATGGAAGCAAAAAAACCCCAAAACAAAACAACACAAAAAAACTTCCTGGGCTCTCACACACATGTGTCCAGTTGAGATTTTCTCCAGCCTTAGGAAACATCCAGCAAACAAACAAAACGGAAAGGTTACGTTCTATTACTCACTATTGCTCCAGGATTTCAGTAAATACTTGATACTGATCTCAAAGAAGCCCGAATCCTGCTGGCTGGCCATGTCTGCGGCATACAAAGAGGCTCCGAGGACTGGTAGCCGCCCGGGAACAGGTACCGGGCGCGGAGAGGTGGCTGGCACAGGTCGGTGATGGCAGCGAGGGGCCGCGCGCCCAGGGCGAGGCTCTGCAGATCCGCCGCCGGCTTGGGCAGGGAGGCCTCATTTAAAGGACGCCCGGGAGCCGGAGAGGGATGCTCGGCCGCTCCTCCTCCTCCTCCTCCTCCGGGTCCAGGGCTCGCTTCTTATTTGCTGAGTGCCGATCTCCCCGCTGCCGCTTGCATTTCGGGGCTGCCGGGACCAGCGACGCCCGGGGTCGGCCGGCCGCCTGCCCGCGCACGAGCTCGGCTCCAGCCAGGTACGGAGCCCAGG